ATGTTCAGTTAAAGATTAGTTGTAAATCTCTTTAATTTCATTAAATTTGGTAATGTTTCATATAATCTCTCTATGTCATATCTATCTTGATTAAGTGGACTTTCCTCATTAAGGGAAATACTACTTTGTATTAATTCATCTAAAACTTAAGTTCTTTTTAGCGGTATTATATTAAACTCCAAGGTTTAAATGCGACTATCCTATTTTTACTTCAAAGCTCTCAGGATTTCAGAAAAAATAAAAAAGTCTCTTTTATAAAAGCATTCTTTCATGTCAATCTCTAATACTTCAATATTCAGGCAAGAAGATAAGGAGTTAAACAATTATTTTAGTTTTTCTTCATATTTTTATATTTTTTCTTCTGGATTAAATATACTAGTTTAAGCTTTGAATTCTGCAGAAGGGATTTTATCAGCCTTAAGATACTTCATTTTGAAAGATTTTAAACTTGTACAAGTGCTAAGATAGTACAAAATGATTTCACATTAGGCTTTGCCTGTCAAATAATGACAGTTTATTTCAAGTTCTCTAAGATGACATATAGACTTATAAGGTGATAACTTTTACTCTGGAGTATAAAATATTTCAAACTAGCCCAATTTATCTTTGTCTTTTGGATCATTTTAGTATATATTGTTTCTTGTTGGTGTATAATCATTGAAAGCTAAAACTAATCTTTTATGAGATGCCTTAGAATAGTCACTTAGGCAGAGCACTTTCAGCTTTTTCATAAATAAGATAGAGTCAATAAATCTTGTAGCAAACTAGTCAAAATTCGCAATTTTTAATACTTTCAATTTGTTTTCAGGCATAATATCAAAAAACTTAACAATGAAATGAGCCTTTTGTATATCTAACTCTACCAAATTTTAATTCTTCAAATACTGAACATCTAGACCAAGTTATCAAGTTTAATCTTAGATCGTAACATAAACCGAATCTATCCAAGATATAAACCTAGCATCAATTTATCCTTAATTAAGGCCGAAAGTAGTGGCTTCCTATATGTCTTAAGAGTTTATTGAAACTTTGTGAGCTTTTATAAGCATTAGCATTAAAAATTTAATGAGATCTTTGTCTTTTAAACTGTATTGTAATTACAACATAATCTCGGTTTCCACATCTTATGCTAGTCTGGTTGTATTCTTCAAGACATAAAAAAGTGAGCTAAAATCTACAAATCGTCCTAGAATCTGAACTTTTTCAAGAGCCAAGTATTTATAGGCGTTGGGATACTTTGAACAGGCTAAGAAAAACTGTTCAGTTTATATTTGAAAGTAATTTTAAAAGCCAAGAGTAGTGATTTTTCTTGAGATAAGCTGCTAAAACAGAGAGTCATAGTCATTAAAATGGCAATTCTTGAAACTTAAGTGCTTTAATCTTAAAGGTATCTAATCGATTAAGCCTTCAGCTCTTTCCTCATCTAAATACACAATCAAAATTTAATTAAACCTTACCCAAATCAAGAAGAGTGATTTTTTCTAATTAAGGTGGGAATTGAAACTAGTTAACTTTAAAGAATCCTCTCTTTAACCTACTAAGTTATAGTGTTAACTCTCTTAAATGAAGTAGATTCTTTATATGGACAAATTATTCTGCAATCTTAGGTTCATTATCTAAATGAAGCACTTTCAATTCCTTGTAGTTTAAGTATTTAGAATAGTATTCAAAATTATCCTCAATCACATCGTAATATATCTGGAGACTGTTAAGCTTAACATAAGTATAACGATCTAGATATTTCTGAATGCTTATAAGCATTGCTTTGTCTAAGACCTAAGCATTTAGCACGGCTGATCCTCTTTTGAACTTTTTGAGAAAATTCTCGTCTTCAACATTCTATGATATCACCATCCTGATATTTAATTTCTATATGGCTCTTTGAAGTACTTAGAAATTGACAATTAAAAATTGCCTAGTTAGCTTAGAACCAAAATAAAGCCATTCTAAAGCATCATCAAAAGTATATGAATAAGAAAGTATTTCTGCTAAGATATATCGAGATTTGATTTTAGTAAAGTTTTGGAAACTTATTGATTCCATTTTATTCTTAAGATTTTAATAGAAGTGCTTTTACTAAATAATTAATCAGACCAAGGCAGAGATAGTATTAATAAGATTAATATATAAGCTAGATTATAATAAATTTAAATACACTTAATATAAATGATTCCTATTAAATTCTATTAAATGGGGTTTTGGGGTTTTGGGGTTTTGGGG